ATTGCCTTTATAATCTGTATGGCGCAATTCTCATTAACATATATTGGTCGATGTAGTATTATCCACTTATTACTGCCTATACCAAAAGTACACTTAACATATCTACGAGCTAAAGTTAATCGATAATTAAATATTTTTTTCGTATGTAAGCTACTTTCCACGATAGGGCCTCATTAAATTTTCCATCAGTCCGAATGTTTCATCTGCTGCAATCAGATAAGGTAGTGCAGTATCAAGCTTTTCTGTTAATGGTGATAGATTTGGTATAGTTAAATATTTTTTTTGTATAAGACAGAATCCTTAAAAAATTCTTTAACAACCACTATCCTTGCCGTAAGCACCAATATCCACCAAAATGAAACGATAGTCAGAGTCGCACAACGGCAAGAGTACTAGAGAAAAATCTCTGTTTTCTTGTATTTTTATTTTTCTTCTAATATAAACCGCCAAATAGTAGCTTCTTCAACATCCATCTTCCAGGCTCGACTGAAACCAACTATCTGGAACTTGAACGTTCGTTGACGTGCGTTAACGTACGTTATCTGAACTTAAGCTACACGTGCGGTTAGAAAACGTGCGATAACGCACGTTGAATAATTATTCATGGGAACTCAGCCTAATTTTGTTGTTCAGTTGTACGCGCGTTTCTGTAGCGATCACATCAGCCATTTGATATACAGCTTCGGAATGTTATAAAAACAAAATTTTAAAACGTCGGGCTTGGAAAGAATTAGTTTTAATATTCTGTGATGACAATAACTCTCAAGAAAAAAAGAAAAATATCGGAATAATTACACTGTTGCCTTATTTTTAATTTTTGCCTTACTCTGCATATTAATATAATTTGATCTTGATATGCAATTTTTTCTTCACTTACGAAATAATTCGTGAATTTAGTTCGGGTAATATCTGCTGAAAAATTAGGTCTCCTATGGTGATCGTTAATTAAGTTTAATAGCTTTTCTTACATGGGTCTAAATCCATTTCTCATCCGAACAAAGTTATGCAGTACTGTGACTGCCTTTATAATCTGTATGGCGCATTTTTCGTTAACATCTATTGGTCTATTACTTATAACCGTTATTTACCGTTATTTACCGTTATTTACCGTTATTTACCTTTGTTTACCGTTATTTACCGTTATTTACCTTTGTTTACCGTTATTTACCATTATTTACCGTTATTTACCGTTATTTACCGTTATTTACCGTTATTTACCGTTATTTACAGATATTTTACCATTATTTACCGTTATTTACCGTTATTTACCTTTATTTACGTTATTTACCATTATTTACCGTTGTTTACCGTTGTTTACCGTTGTTTACCGTTGTTTACCGTTGTTTACCGTTGTTTACCGTTGTTTACCGTTGTTTACCGTTACTTACCGTTATTTACCGTTATTTACCGTTATTTACTGTCATTTGCCGTTATTTACTGTTATTCACCGTTATTATTGTTATTTATCGTTGTTTAACGTAATTATCGTATTTATTGTATTTATCGTATTTACCGTTATTTATAGTTATTTACCGTTATTTATAGTTATTTACCGTTATTTACCGTTATTTACCGTTATTTACCGTTATTTACCGTTATTTACCGTTATTTACCGTTATTTACCGTTATTTACCGTTATTTACCATTATTTACCGTTAATTACCGTTATTTACCGTTATTTACCGTTATTTACCGTTATTTACCGTTATTTACCGTTATTTACCGTTATTTACCGTTATTTGCCGTTATTTACTGTTATTTACCGTTACTTACCGTCAGTTGTTGTCATATACCGTTATTCACGATTATTTACCGGTATTTACCGTTATTTGCCCTTATTTTTAATTATTTGTAATTATCTACCGTTACGGCTCCATACTGTCTAGTCTCGTAACGCTACGCCAAATAATTATAGCCGTCTCTCGCCGCACTTCCTCTGTGTAAATTATTTTAACCACATCTGATTTTTGCTTATACCTCGTATACCTGGTATTTCTGCATTTTATAATACGAATTTTTATTGAATTAGAAAAAACAATAGTCCTGACATGACTCAAATGCGCACAGGCTCCAATACCCTGACATATTCTCAGTGTGTAAACGTTTTTCTAAAATGACAGGTCCCTATCTCCCCCTCTCCATACCTATGATTCTATCACAATGCTCTCTACGCATAAAACAGAAACATTATTTTTAATACAGTTATTGTCAAGTCGGCTATGAACTTAGATTTAATGTTCTGAATCTTAAAAAAACTTCGATTGTGTGGTAGTTCCCTGTATCTGTAACGTGTGGAGGATGGGTTACCCTACGGCACTTAGGCCTCGCTAGGCCTATTGTGCATCCTCCTAAGATGATAGGCACCTCCTAGCTCGTCAGCCAGCTTACAGATTTAATGTAGTTGACAACGTCGCCAAGAGGTGCTTCTCTTATATCGGCCGGTGTTAGCCGATACTCGCCGAACACAAAATCTTCTAATAAATGAGAGCGTCAAGCAATTGTAAAGGATATGCGCGATGGTCTCATCTTCTTGTTCGCACCCTCTGCAGAGTGCCGATTCTGTTAGCCCCATGATATGGAGATACTTCCGTACTTGGCAATGACCAGTCAGAATGCCTGTGACCAGACGCAGATTCTGTCTAGTCATAGTCAAGTATTTGTTTGCTGCAGTGTTGTCAGGATAACTTAAGAGCTCCCTGGCAACTCTGCAGTTTCTTGTTTCATCCAATATTTTCTTGAATTTCACAAGGGAATGTTCTTCAATGAGGTTTGTCACTACCGATTTTGTCAGGCCAATAGAAGGGCCAGGTCCAAAAATGTGTGGCAGTTACTGGGGTATAAAATACCAAGAAAAATGAGAAGTATATCCTATACAGGGTGTCCCGAAATTAGACGGTCCTATTTTAACAGCGTAATCTACATCCTAAAATAGTAGTAATAGTTTATATAAACTTAGGTCCGAAAACGTTTTGTTTCCGAGATATAGGGTGTTAAAAGTGAAGTCCTGATGACACATTTTTGTAAATATTTTCTAAACTTTTAAAGATAACTTAGTGAAATTTTGTACAAATGCTAAACTTTTTACGCTCTATTTAATGGACTAAACGATCATCTTCATAGGTGGGTAAATTAGGGGAGGGGCTTAGGGTTAAATTTTCCTAAGTTTTTTTTTTGGCTCTTTTTAACATTTTTGACTACAAAATTTGGAAAACCAATATTTTCATTATAATAAAGCTACTTTCGTTGTATCTCGCTAGGACGCACTATTTTCAAGAGAGAAGCATTTGAAAATTTCATGATAAGTTGATATTATCTTATTGGAAAGTGTAAACAATAATTAGTAGGCCTGTGGAATCAGAAATTTTATTTTTTGTTTTTCTTTGAAAACCGGTGACCTAAGAAATTTTAGAAAATATTTACAAAATGTGCCATCAGTACATCACTTGTAACATCCTGTATCTCGAAAACTAAACGTTATCGGACCTACGTTTATATGAACTTTTACTTGTATTTTAGGATGTAGATTCCGCTGGTAAAATATGACCGTCTAATTTCGGGACACCCTGTATATAAATAGATGAATTGGTTTAGTACCATTTTCTCTTTTGTTCGTGAAACGATTTTCCTTTTTTTTTGTTTTGTTTAGTAGCTATTGACAAGCTTTAGTGTTATCAAAAATTTAGAAATAGTATTTTTTCCAACCTTTGATATTATGAAATCCATTGATGCACAATTATGAATTATGATTGACTAATAAAATTAGCCTATTTCATCCCCTCTCTAGGAGAGGTCGATATATAGAACCCCTAGGCTAAGGAAAATGAACTACGGGTACGACGAATTAGATTTTGAGAAGAAAAAGATTTCACCCCCCAAAGAAAGGTCATTTCACCCTCTCTATATATAGGTGGGAGAGGGGGTGAATATGTTACTTTATACTCTAGTCAAATAGTAGAAAAATATCACACAATTTTTTCTTCTTCAAGCAAAAATCTCATTTAAAATTACTGTATTATGTTGTTTTATCTAAATGTTGAATATGATTTCGATATTGATTTTTGTCGATGATTTGTCTAGATAATTTTTCTCCATAATTACTTTCCTATCTGTATACAGATATAAGGAAAGTATAGGAATAAAATAGAAACTGATTAGTTTTTAAACAGAGTCGGAACATCTGGAGGGTACTTTATAGGTGGTAATTTTTATATTTTATGTAATATGTCTCTTATTTACGTTTGGAGAAGAAAATTCTTCAAATATTATATTATATATATCTAATATTATTATCTATAGTTTTTGTATTATACAAAATTTTCCTAAAATGGTCCGTATTCGAGAAATTTGACAAAATGAAAAAAATATTTTTTTATGAAAATTGTTAAGGTAAAAGTTGTTTGTAATATAATTCTCTATAATTTTTATTCTATACATAATTTCTCTATAATGGACCGTATTTGAGATATTTGACAAAATGTGTAAATTTCGAATTTTGAAGAAAACTCAAAAACGGATAAAGAAAAAAACATGAAATTTTAAACTTAAGTTTTATTTCGGCCTGACGTGAAATGATTAAATTTTGGACAAAGTTGGAACATCTGGGGGGGGGGGGTACCTTACAGGAGACCGTTCTTATATTTTATGTAATATGTCTCTTATTTACGTTTGGAGAAGAAAATTCTTCAAATATTATATTATATATATCTAATATTATTATCTATAGTTTTTGTATTATACAAAAATTTTATAACAAAAATCGTGTACCAGCCAGCATTTTCCCAAATAATACTAATAAACATAATTATTTGTATTTTTTTAGGTTTTCGTTTATATATTATTTAAATACAATAATTATCTTTTCAAACAAATATTAATTCAAGATTGGGTGGGTTTATTTAAATTTAAATAAAAATGTTATTTTATTACAGATCCGAGACTTTTAAAGTCTTGTTACGTAAAAATCACTCGATAATACCTGCTACAAAGTTTTTTTCACTTACCATTTACAAAAGCTAATTTAAGTGTAAACCGGTAAAAAAAAATAGAATAGTTTTTATTTGACACTTGTAACACTCATTTGTTCATCACTGCTAAACCGCCTTAGAACCGCGACGAAAGAGCAAAACAGATATTTGCGGTTTTCGGACCCACGGCGGCGGGTGCTCGAGCGTTCACCACGGCCTGTGAAAGTAGAATAATAAACGCGTGCCAGAAGTATATCTTATAATCCCGGTTGTTTACTATTTACAATTTTTATGGTGTACCGCCAATAATTACACTTCCTCGGATTAATGGTATAAGGAAACGTTACTTTCATAAACGCAAGTGATAAGTCAGTTTAAATATATGCTACATGTAACATCTCGGTAGCTTTGCAGTCATTAATTTGTTGATGATTGATGAGAAACCACATGAGCAAGAAATCTGAAATCATTAAATAAAAAATTAATTGTAATAATTGGCATTATTAGAAGTAAAATATAAAGAGTCCACAAAAAATCCAAAAATTAGTAAACGTTTTAACACGTTGACTGCCTACGAAATAACGGATTTGACATATCAGTGCCAATCATAAATTTTTAATTGGATTATATCAGTTGCTGGAGATATTAATTATTATAATATTTTTATTTATTATTATTACTATTGCGTTTTTTTGCAAAAAAATAAAAAGCCGCATATGTTCGCGCACGGACACTCAATAACAAATTCAAGTGGGCAGTGCCCAGTGACGCAGCCCTATCGGCATAATAAATTATATTTATTTATTTCATTAACACACAAAGAGAACATTTTAAACAACAAAATAAAGTAAAAAATATAAGAACAAACAGAAAACCAATCTGATAAACCAACTACTACATACCAACACAAATAAAAATAATATTGAAAAGAGCAAATATTGCAAGATATCATTAAGAAATCAATAAAAAGAGAAACATTAAACCTAAAAAATAAAACACCTATACATAGGTAAAAGGTAAGAGAAATTAAAATTAGCGCAAATTATCGTGAAATTGTTCAAAACCTTAGATTAAAGAGACCGAAGATGTAAAATTAAACCCCAAGTAACCCACCAATTGAAAATCATTGTTTGCACGACGCCACCCAAATTGCTCCGATTTTACCATTCAACGATCACCTTCGCCTGAGTTCAATCACCATTAACAGCTGTTTTTTGATTTATTTGTTGGTGTTTTAGCAATTTAAGGTGTTCTAAATATTTAATTTTAAGTTCAAAATGCCACGCTGTACCTTGAGAAATTGTATATACTTATAATACAAGTACCAATGTTATGAAAGATAAAAAATATATTAGTTTTCAGCGGTAAATATTTATTAACGTTTTGACATAAAGCGCCATGATCCTTTGAGCTGAATACTTCAGATCCGCATTAAGGGGTTTCAATAAATATTAAGAATCAAATACAAATTTCAGAAAACAGATTTCATATTACTTACATACATTTACAGAAGGGTAAAATTTAGAACATTTAATTTAAATAAGAAGTAAATAGGCATTGATGCTAACGAAATTTTGTTTTTAAAAAGTAATTTTATAAGAATATTTACTAAAGGTGGTTTTTAGCCCTTTTTGGTATAACCTAAAATTATTTGACAAACCATCATAACCTACAAATACTAATTTTTGACTTTTGGGTTCAAGTTTGTTCCGTTTTTGATCTGGAACATGAACAAATGCTTCACAGCCAAAAACTTTAGTATGAGAGAGTTCAGGTTTTTTACCAGTCCACAGTTCATATGAAGTAATATGATTTGCCGAATGAATTTGTAAACGATTAAGTATATACACAGCTGTATTAACGGCTTCTGCCCACAGGTATTTCGGAACACCAGCACTGTAAAACATCGAGCGTGCACTTTCGATAATAGTTCGGTTGTCGAGTTCAATCTTGCCATTCTGTTGGGGAGTGTATGGGGCTGTTCGTTCTAACTCAATACCTTTTTCATTTAGGTATTGTGAGAAAAGTTGGTTAATATATTCAGTTCCGTTATCTATGTGCAAAACTTTCACTGAGTGTCCAAATTTATTTTTAGCCAGGTTAATATAAGTATTAAAACATTCAAGGACATCCGTTTTGTGTTTGATAAAGTATGTTACACGAAATCCAGAAAAATCGTCTTTAAATGTAACAAAATATTTTGCGCCTCGTACTGAACAAGTTCCCATTGGACCGCATAAATCACTATATATTCTTTCTCCTGGTTCTAGCCTTGGATGTGAACCTTTTTTAAAGGGTATTCTGTGCTGTTTGCCGTAGTTGCATCCTTCGCAGAAAAAGTTATTAGAATCTGTTAGTTTGATACCGGTTATTATTTCTTTCGAAAATAATTCTTTCAATGTTTGAATATTAATGTGCCCTAGTCTCTCATCCCATACTTTAAGATTGTTTTCTGAAGTGAAGTTGACCTGAGACACGATAGTATGAAACAGCATCCGGTACAAATTATTAGGTCCACGCTCTGCTTATGCTACAAGGTGGTTGTTTTGATACACTGTGGCATTGCCTCCTTGCTTTACTATTTTCAACCCTTTCTTGGTTAAGACACCTTCAGAAAATAAATTTCTCTTTAAATCGGGGATATAGAAAGTATTGGGCTATTTTATGTGCCCTAGTGCAAACGTGTGACGACTCATCCAATAAATCGAACTCGCTTTACTTTTGTCGCTTATGTGCATCAAAACCGTACTATTTATTTTTTCTGCAAATGATTTCAACGCTTTAGGGTTAATTCCATAATTGGGTTAAAGTTTAAACTACTATTCGAAGATTAAAATTACATTTTATGTAAAAATGTCATTTTAAACTTCCTTAAACCCAATGGTGGAATCGGCCCCAAGTTAGTTATGTCATGGTCATTGATTAGTTGCAATTTTGCAAATAATATATACTCCAGCGCTTAATACCCACTTGAGTGATAATTAAATCAGTTATATTTTATTTCTTTCATTTACTTTATTCAGCACCTCTCGACTGAAAACCGGGTATATTTAAGCTTTTAAACACCCTTCTTTTATTACCTCGGCCTTTCATCACCTCTTAGGTCAATATGTAGGTTTTTATCTGTAAAAAAGGAAATTCATTTTTTATAGTTCAAATAATCAGATACTTAACCAGAAATAGTACAATAAAAACTTGTAAATCCGGTTCTGCTTTTTCGACATCTTAGTGAGTGCAAAAGATACGCCTACCGGTCCAAATTTTGTATATCAAAAATAAGAATAAATAAGAAGTAAAGAAGCATAGTTGCTAGCAAAATTTTATTTTTGTAAGGTATTTTTATAAGAATATTATTATGAAATACAGGATGACCTACTTCAAGGTTTATCTTATTTGCGGTCAAATCGAAACTGACATTTGAATCTTAGGTGTTAAAACAAAGTGTACAATATGATCTAGTATAAGCAAAAAAATAATAAAGTTACGGGAGTTAGTCACTTTGTTATTAAAATGTTACGCTATAAACCCCTAAACAACTCGAACAAAATTATTGTTTACTAAAAAAAATCCAAATTGTAGCAATATTTATTATTTAATATAAAATCTAATGCGGTTTCAAAGAAAACGGGATCAAAAAATCAAAATCTCTAAATTTTGGAGCTAAATGCTTGGATAAAAGCAAACAACTGATAGGAGTTACAAAAATAATCGATTTATCGATTATTCTGATATTTTTTATGAAAATCGATTTATACCTTATTTTTAATAAATTATTTTCGTTTATTTTTAGATCACGTAATAAACGATTTTAAAGGATATACAAAAAGAAAGTAGATTTATTTAAAATATTCGATTAATTAAAAATAATCGATTTTTTAGGAAAAATCGATTTATCTTTAATTAGTTTTTTTAAATAATCGATTATTTTCGATTTTTCAAAGGTATAATATGAAAATAATCGATTGATCGAATATAATCGGTTATTTTTTAGAATTATCGATTTATCGGTTAATCAGCTTTTTAATAATTGATTAATTTTAATTTTTAAAGGAAATATGAAAAGGATTATTAGAAAATAATCGATAATTCGGTTATTTTTTTGGAAAATAGATTTATCGTAGAATCGACTTCTTAATTAATTGGTTATTTTCGATTAAGCGATTATTTTGGAATAATCGATTATTTTTGGTATTTCAAAGATAATCGAAATATCGATTTTAAAGGAAACAAAATAAAAATAAATTATTACTAATAATAGATCGAAAATAATCGATAATTCGGTTTTTTTTTGAAAATAGATTTATCAGCTAATCAACTTTTTAATTAATCGATTATTTTTGATTAATCGATTATTTTCGATTTTTCAAAGATTATCGAATAATCTGTTTCAATGGACGAAAATAAATTGAATTATTTGAAAATAATCGATTATTTAAAATAAACGATAATTCTTTTATTAATTTTTGTAAACACTGATTTATCGGTTAATTGGCTTTTTAATTAATCGATTATTTTTAATTTTTCAAAGATAATCAAGAAGTCCATTTTAAAGGAAAAACGACAAAAAATAGATTGTTTGAAAATAATTGATTGATCGAAAATAATCGATTATTTTCAATGATCGATAATTTATTTCGATAATCACCCACTCCTAGCGACCAAATTACTTTTAATAGGTTTGAATTTTAAAATATTGTCTGGTTTCAGACATATGCATTTCTAGAGTTTTATGTGACTCACCCTCTATATTAATTAATATTCCTAAAGAAAGAAGCTAAGGTTACAATACAAAACATTTTCTCATTTTGACTAATGTTTAATATTACGTAATAGCCGTAGAAAAAATATAATGCTTAACTCACAAGGTTTTATTTGCAGTATTCGCCTGCGCACATGCTTTTTTTATAATACTCGTAGACAATGAGTACCATTTCTTGCTCTATTAACAATATTCTATTTCAACATTTTACTGTAGTCTCTGCTAAAAAGTCTGTAGTAAATAAACGCTAACGAAATATTCTATAAAAGGTCTTCTCTTTACATAAAATGTCGTGGCATCTGTTTGATATTAAAAAATCACGTAAATTTTATTTCATAATACAAAATTCCATTAAATATATATTTTAAATAAGTCTAATAGTTCATTATTATGCTAATAAACAAAGTCCGGCCCCTGTCACAGAGTTCGGGTCTCTGCATAGTTCCCCCACTCCTTTA